CTTTCTGTCTCAGCTCCTACTTCTGGGCTCCAGCCCTCTCTCATTCACATGAACAGCGCCAGAGCTGAAGTTTACCACCAGATGTTTCCTTGTGTTGTGACTTAATTAAACTTTGAATAATAACGAAGGCACACATTGGTGGGAAGTGTGAAAACACTGTTTACACCTGACAGAATCATCTCACTGTTATGTCTATCAAGGTACAAGAATGCAAATTGTGAAGTGCTAGACAGAGGTGCTTTCTACCATCTCATTCTTAAAATGAAGGCCAGACAATGCCAACTGAGTGAAATGAATTTTTTTAAAGCGCTATTCAATTTACTTTGTGTGCATTGGTATGAAGATGTCAGATGCCCTGGAACTGGAGTTACAGACAGTTATGAGTTGCTATGTTGGTGGTGGGAATTGAACACTGCTACTCTGGAAGAACAGCCAATGCTCTTAACCATTGAGCCATCTCTCCAGCCCGAAAAAAAATTTTTAAATCGTGTTTTTCCTCCCTAAGTAGTCACAAAGCACCCAATTCCTTTTACCAAGCAATTCCTTACTATTGCTCTTTTAGATCCTAATGTCATCTGCAGAATACCTCAATTTATGGGAAAATGAAATGATGTATATAATATTTTAAAGTACAAACACCTTTGAGTTGATGTCTCATGTTACCTTTTATTGTGTGTTTTGGTTATTGCTTGTCACTGTTATGAACCCAAAAGAAGCAGCTTAGGGGAGGAAGGATTTATCTGAGCTCATAATTTGATGGGCTACAGACCCCATGATGGGAAGGCATGGATGCATTTACAGGGGCTTGCAGATGTAAAAGTTAGTCTTGGTAAAAGGATGGGAAGTTCAGGCTGGCACTGGATATGGCTCTGGCTCACTTTTTCCAGGTAGGCTGTAGGCTGGAGGAAGTGATGAAATATGAGCTAATGGGCACATTTCATAGTCGAACGTAATATCATTGTAGCTGCCTTTATGGTATTGAGGGCCCGCTGTGTTTGGTTTGTTTTAACTCCAATTTAAAATTTCTTTTTTAATCTTTGAATTTTAAAGGATTTTGAACCATTAGGATCCACTGGTGATCAGATGTGGCACTTTGGATCAAACCTAGAATCCTTGCATATGCTAGGCAAGAGCTCTGAGCTATACCCTCAGCTTTTAATGATGGTTTAGAAACAATTCTGATTTAGAGCTTTAGGGCCCTTTTGTCCCAATATGGTAGTTGCCAATGGTACCTGACATTTTAAATTTGAAATGAAACGCATCAGCAATAGAATAAAAATTCAGAGTTATCAGAGTCCCATTTCAAATGTCTAGTAGCCACATGCTTGGGACAGCCAGGTGGAGAAGTTGAGTTATGCACCATGCTCTCCATTACAGAAAGTTGTGATGGACAATGATGATCAGGTTCATTCTGTTTATTTGGATAGATTTCTCACATTTGGGAGTCAGATCTCACAGCTAGAAGAGAACCCGGTATCCATTTCATACTTTGGAAGCTCTAGTGTGTGTGCAATAGTTGCGATCGCTACCATTTTCTTTTGCTTCTGAGCCTGTATTCTAGCCAGTTCTCATTTTGTTGCAGATACTTACTGAACCCCTGTTTTGCTTTGTTGTGTCTTTGGCAAGTGAATCTGGTAAGAAGCAGCCTCGGGCTCACACTAATTTAGTACAGGGGCACACTCAGGGCGTCTTGAGTTACAGAATTGCTGTATAAAGTCTCTTTGTAGTCAGGGCATGGTCCTATAGAAAAAATCACCCTTGAAAGCCATGGGGAACTCAGCTGCCTGTCTGGTGGCTGTCTGTCCAAGTTCCTTAAGGCAGAGAATGGAGACAATGGCGCAGTGTTTTCTGGAAGCATTATTGAGTGTATTCAGTCCCAAGTTTAGAATAATGTGTTTGACTACAGCTTTTTTTTTTCCTCAGTGATGACAGTTTCTTTGGTATGAAATTTAATCCTTGTAGTATCTTTAGCATAAGTTTTAAGCTTGCCAGGTTCTTTTATCTGCTGCTAAGCTCTGGGTACATGTCCAAACGCCTATGATTCCTTAAAAAAAAAAAATTCCTCTGATCTGCATGCTGATTTGTTATCAGTAGTAACAAGTAGGAAGTTAGGGGATGTATGTGCTGAAACATTGAACAAGATAATTTATGCTCTTTGAGATCTGGGTGCCTCCAAGCCCAGTTCTCTCCTCTCTCTCTCTCTCTCTCTCTCTCTCTCTCTCTCTCTCTCTCTCTCTCTCTTCTTTCCACTCTTTGCTGAACAAATAGAGATATGGTAAAAGAAAATTACAAACTCTGCTGCTGGCTCCAAGGTATTAAAAGGACATGCGTGACACTGTGAATCTGGAGAACGGTTTTGTTTTCCACTCTTGCTGGTTATTTTTAAAAATGCTTTGTGAAAACAGAAACAAACATTAAACTGAAGCTTGGGAGACAGCTTAGTGGGTAAAGTGCTTGCTCCACATGCCTGATGACCCGTAACCTCCCTGGAACCAACAACATACTGGTTGCACTGACTCTTCCCTATAGACATGAGTCTTAGAGCAATATGGGAGGCGAAGCAAGAAAATCTGGAAGCTTAGCGGGTGCAAAGTGGGAGGAAGAAGACAGATCTTCCTCAAAAAGGTAAAAAGGACTGAGCCAACCCCCAGAAGTTGTCCTCTGACTGCCACATGTGTACCCTGGCTTTCAGGGACCTGTAATCACACACACACACACACAGAGAGACACAATTTAAAAAATAAAATAAAAATCTCTTTTTGGTTACAGCTATCCTAATTTAAAACTGTGCCTTATGTGTGCAGGTTTTAATATGCATCTAGTTTTTTTTTTTTTTTTTTAGGGACTTGTCCAGGCCAGTCTGGAGCTCAGGCTGGTCTCAAACTCAAAATCTTCCCACCTCAGCCCCTGGAGAACTGAGATTACAGGTCTGTTCTAGGCAAGCCTTTTTGCTCCTTAGCAGACCCTGGATAAACATGTCACCTCCTGGAGCCTCAGCAGCCTTCCTTTGAGGTCTATTTATGGAAGAGATGAAAGCAGCAGCCGGGCAGGTGCATGCCTCCAGGGATGCCATCTGAGGCTCCTGTTTAGCATCTATCCCAAGTAACCCTAGTAGGACTAGAACTAGAAAGCTTCGGTATTCAGTCAAAATGGTCCAAGAGGGAGTCTGGCAGATGGACATCAGTGATATTTCCTAGGCTAAGAGTTTTCGCAGTTTAAATTATGACCTGACCTCCTGCAGTTGCCACGCTAGTAGTTAGTTGGTGTTTCCAAATTTGGCAAATTGTTTAGATTGCGTTTGTTTTATAGTCTAGTGTGCTTTTTAAATAGTTTGGCAACTTTAGTTAGTACAGTTAGCTAGTTAGTTAGAGAAGTTAGTACCTCTGTCATTGTGTAAATGATTCCTTAAAACTTAAATAGCCACTGAGCAACTTTTCCCAAGGGGCAGGGGATTTATTATTTTGCAAGACAGCACTTTTAAAAGTCATTTTTTTCTTCTTTTGAGACAGTTTAATGTAGACCAGTAACGTCCAACTTGCTCCCTACCCAAAGATGACCCTGATCTTTTCATTTTCTTCAGTCCATCTCAAGAGTGTGAGGATTACGTGTGTGTGCCACCATCCTAGGTTTATGTGACACTGGAAATTGAATCTAGGGCTCATGTATGTTGGCAAGCACTCTACCAACTAAGCTACATCCCAGGCCAAAGTGACACTTAAATATTTTATTTTAACTTGGAAACTCAGGACTGAAATGAAAAACGTGAGCGCCTTCGTGTTTCAAAGAAGCGGTTGACCCAATATTAGGCAGAGATAATTTCATATTACGCTTTATTTGATTAACCAGATGGGAAAATCAGCACATGTTGATTATCTGTTGTTAAAGTAACACTGCTAAAGTTCTAGATACTTCTAACAAAAACACAAAATATGAAGACAATGGGAAGTTTAATTTACAAAACCATGAAGTCTTTTGTTCTCAATTTCTGCTTGGTACTGTGGATTTGGGGAGAAAACAGTATGTACTTCTATTCTTATTTCACTTGATTTTCTAATCTTTCATATTTGGCCAGCTACTTTCTGAGAACATATTGTACACATGTTCTGATGCTGTTGGAAGGCCCTCTGGGATGCAGGAGTTGATTGAAAGCTCTCTGTTCTCCTGAAGTGGGTGGCCAGAGAGCTGGGGCTGAACAGCTGCCATCCACTCATTGAACTTTTGTCATTTATGAATTATTTTCCATGCCATCTGGAGCAAGAGCAGTGCCATGGCTCGGAGAACTCTTGGTGGGGCGTGCTGATGCTCGGTGCTTACGCGCCTGCTCATTACCACATTCAACTGAAGCTGTAAAATCTTCATTTGAGCATGTGACTCCGCAAGCCAGAGTCATTTCTCTAAGTGTTTTGAAAGACACCAGCTCCATCTCTCCCAACATCCCCTCACCCCTACTCTTTCCCTTCCAGTGACTACAACCTGCCCATTCTTGGTTCCGGTGGAAAAAAATACATCAATCCCAGAGTCCCTATGAGGTTTCTTGTTTGATGACATAGTCAGAAATCCTTCTCTCATTAACCCCGAGTTGCTGTCTGGATATGATGTTTTCTTGGTAGGCAAAATTAAGCTTCCATTCTTGTCCCCTATTAAAATAATAATAATAGACACAGGTCATAAACTCAAGGTCTGAAATGAATTCATATTAAGGGAAGAACGCTGTGGCGTGTCTGCTGTTCTGGTTGGGAGTTTCATTAATCCAAAGATTTGTGCTGGCAGCAGACGCAGTGCCTGGTGCTTCCAGTGCAGATGGTGGGGGTTGTAGCAAGGCCACCAGCAGGAGGTGTTTGAACTGCTCCAGTAGCTGCTGTCAGACAGCAGCTCATGGAAAAACACCACCAACCCTTCACTCCCCAAATGGGTAGTATTGATTTAAGGGAGCACCTCTCCGCAGCCCCCTTCCTGGCAGCCTGTTTACCTAATGAGTTCTGCTTTGGTGTCCCTCACAGAGGCTGGGAAACCACAGAGCGAGTGAGAAGAGTCAGAAACCAAGACAAACGATGTCTTCAATGAGAAAAGCCGAAGCCGACACCGAACAGGGAGAATCGTCCTGACGCTGAGACGCTGTTAGGGAGAACCGCAGTGGCCGTGCCATAGTTGGAGCGAAGGAGTCTGGACACAGAAGTCTTTATCCTGTTTCCATGCCCGAGGGCATGCACATTTCGACAAGCTTGGATGTCATTGGCACAGGAAGTGGAGCATATGCTTAAATATGGATTTCCTTTGCTATTTGGAGACCCTTTCCCTGGTTTGCTGTTTCGGTGGGCTGCCACTACGCTCCATTTGGTTGTCTTGGATGGAGTATCTCTTACCGTGGATCTTACAGCTCCAAGCCTGGTGGCACCCGGCCACGATGAGAGCAAGGAGAAGACCCCCTCCTGAGGGTTTTCAAGTTCTGGCTGTCTGGGGCCTCCATAGTCCTCCCTCCTTCTGGAACACCAGACCCCAGGTTGAGCCCAGCTTCTTAGTGGAGAAACAGGACATATAATGAATGCTAGAACTTCATCGAGGAGGCTGTCTCAGTTAGATTTCTATTGCTGTGATAAAGTGCCATGGCCAAGGCAGCTTACAAAAAAAAAAAAAAAAAAAAAAAAAAAGAGTCTTATTTTGGCTTATGGTTTCAGACGGTTAGAGTTCATGTTGGTGCAGTGAAGATAGAGCTGAGTGCTTACATCTTGATCTACAACTGAAAGAGACAGAAAGAAAGAGAGAGAGAGAGAGAGACAGAGAGAGGATACACACCAAGACCAGTAGGAGTCTTTTGAAACCTCAGAGCCTACTCCCAGTGACGTATCTTCTTCAACAAGGCAGAATCCTCCTGATCTTTTGCAAACAGTTCCACCAATTGGAGACCAAGTATTCAGATATATGAGCCTTTGAGGCTACTCTCACAGAAATCATCACGAGAGATAAAGAAGGGCCCCAGTGAGTCGGAAGCGTGGGGCAGTATCGTCAGTTGCAGTTCTCCGGGTCAGAAGTATCTCTGAGATCTCCATGTTGAACTCCAAACAAGGCTCCACCATTCACAGCTGCTTCTTTTGTGCTTTGGGAGCCTGCAGTGAGTCCAGGAGGGAACCACGCAGATGGTCATTCGCCGTGACTGAGAACTTCCACCCAGTGCGCCAGTGACTGAAGTGAACGACGGCCTGAAATCCTGCGTGTCAAGAGCCGCAGATCTGTTCCAGTGGCCACTGGCTACATGGCTGGTTGTGGTGCATAGGCTCTCAACAGGTGCTGCCCAAACCATTTAGCCTTGTAATGTGATAATGGCCTGCTGGTGTGAGAAAGGATGGCTTGCGACCAACTGAGGGGAAGGAAGGTGATCTTTCTGTTGATGTTGTTCTAAATCTGTATCACAGCTTGGTTCGACTACACCATCTCATAAATCATAGTGAGCTGTATGTTTCAAGAAATCGGTGGGTAAAATGTTCTTTATGGGCACGCTGGGCCCCTCACTGAGGTTACTTCTCAGATAATGCCTCTTACTTCACGTCGGTTTTCTTTTACCCTGTAACTGGTGTATCTGTCATTTTTCCTGCACCGGGTTGTGGCTGAAGAGTCAGAAGAGTCAGGGCTCGAGGTTAAATAACAATTCTGCTGGTTTGGGACTTTGTCACATCCAAGGAGTCTTTTCTCTGCAGCAAGGTCTCAGGCTCCTTTTTGTTTGTTTGTTTGTTTTTTGTAAGATGGGAACTAAAGGGCCAGCAAGATCGCTCAGAAGGACAAGACATTTTCCTGCCAAGGTCAAACCTCTCTAAGGCCCCACGAGGTGGAAGGAAAGAAGTTACTTCCTTTGGCCTTCACAAGTGCACCACTGCACTTAGGGACTCATATGCATACACACCCAAAACCAATCCAAAAAGTACATTTCATGGAAATAAAATATTCTCACATTTTTGCTTTGTTGTGAAGATTCTTGTCTGAGCAGGTATACGGGGAAGTCTGGGAATGGATTGTCATATGAATACTTGTTTTTGTTTGGCAATCTGCAATATAATAGTATTCATTCATCGAGCAGAAGGATGGAGGACAAAACCCTGCCCCTGGGGACCTTCTGTAGGCTGCCACTGACTAGACGGTGATGGCAGTCTGGTTCGCCTGTTTCGTAGCCTAACACACTGCCCACATGCCCTTCCATCATGAGTTTGAAGTCATCAGGAGGGCCATTGTCTGACTCCTCACTTTCGCCCAAACAGATCCTGTCCACTGTGGTTCCTCAATCTGCCAGGCTGTTTGCCTTGTCAAAGGAGGAGATGAGGTTAGCTTTGTCCCCGTGGAGCCTCGCCTTTCTGTGTTGTCATGGCCCACTCTCTCAGCTCTCTTCCAGGATCGTGTCCAGGAGCAACAGTCAAAGCACTGGTGTCACGTGGGATGTTCCTGCCACTTCTGTTCTTCCATGCTATTGTTTTGAAACCAGGAGCTTTGTTCTCCTCATCTTTAGTCTTCTGGTACCAGATCTGCTTTTCCCACCAGGATTTATGACAAAGGACGGTCAGGAGCCACCTCTTTCAGGTCCAGGTGGCATTCACAGTGTGTTTTGATCCCTCCACTCATTTTCGCTGAGCACTGTGAAATCAGCATGGGTTGTGTTTGCCCTTGTAACATCACCATGGCTAAAGGCTTCATGTTGAAAAGACCATAGAATGTGTTCTGATACATGATCAATGCATCTAAAAATACAGTGTTGCTTTCAGTCCCCCTGGGAAAACAAAACCAACCTTATAAAAGGGCAGTATGCTATTAAGTATATTGTAATACTTTGTTATGGCTAGCAAAATTATATGCTTCATTGTTGAAAAGTCTAAATTTAAAGAGATATTTGGGGGGTTGGAGATGTAACTCAGTTTGTAGAATACTTGTCTGGTATGCAAAATGTCTTTTTTTTTTTTTCACCAGAATCTCATAGATCAGGCATGAAGGTATACACACACACACACACACACACACACACACACACACGTATATACATAATCTTAACACTTCAGATGTGTGGAGGCAAGATAAGAGGTTCAAGGTCATCTTTAGCTACATAATGAGTCCAAGGTTAGCAAGTATGTGAGAGCTTGGAGACAGACAGAAACACACACACACACACTGGGGCTGGGAGGATGGAAGTTGAAATTGATTTGGTGTTAAAAAGCTCAAAGTCCATTTGAGGCCAGCCTGGCCTACATAGTGAGTTCTAGGCTACCCAGAGTTACATATTGAGATTCTGTGTAAAACAAAAGCAAAAGCAAACCAAATGAACAGAAACAACCAAAATAAGCTCAAAGGCCATTACATGGAGTTTTTAACTTTGTGTAGCTCCGTGTTAACATGAACAAAATAGCTTAATTTGAAATTATTTCCTAATTATAAATATAATAGTACCAATACAAATGTCTATTTAGTAAATAAATACTGTATTTTTGTCTTATGTTGGATGTTTGACATGCTTAATTTTGTATAACGTAATTATTGGGTAAGATAGGGTTCGCGATGAGAAACAGTCTTAGGCAGCCTGTGAACGATGGGCAGATGAGCAGGACTTGAATTTAGATCTCTTGGTGCAGACTCTAAGCTCTTATTCTGTTCCAGCGTGACTTAGAGTGATGCTTGACTTTTAAATCTTTATTTTCTGGCATCCAAATGACTGTGCGGAGTGACCTCCGACTTACACTCTGGTGGTGGGGATCACTTTAATATGGCTGTATGATTATAAGCTAATTGCTGTGTAGGAATACTATATACACTTCAGATTCAAAGAAATTTCCCAGGGAAACAAAGAGCTGCCTCTCTTCATTGCTAGAAGACTTTGCCATGTTTCTTACAAATGTGTTGATACATTTCCCCTCTACATACTTATCCATCAAAGCCTGGTGTTTTCCACTGCTAAGGCTGGGGCACCTGACGGAAAGCCATTCTCCTCTGTCATTTTGTCAGGAATTGGTCATAAAGATGGGTTAATTTCTTTAGGCAAGCTCTGAAACTTAGTTTTATGAAAATAAAAATTGCGGTAATAATATTTCACGATCTGTAAGAACAGAAGGCTTTGTCCCTCTTCCCGTAGTAAGGATTAATTTCTGGAGGTTTGAGCATATATAGTTCAGTGGTAGGGTGTTTGTCTGGCATGCCGCAGACCATGTCTCCCACCCACCAGCATCACATACAAAGCAGAAAGAAAAGAAAGAAAACGTCTTCCCAGGACAAAGCGCTTCAAGCTACTTTCTTCCTTTCACTACAACACTGATCTCAATGCCAGATGTCATAAAATGCCTTAGATAAAGAGGGTGCTCTGTTTCCCAAAGCTTGGTTTGGCATTGAAACCATTTTAATAGGGAACTGTATAAGAAAATCTAATATAATGCCTAAAAAAGGTACAGTTGTAGACCTGGTGGACGAGGTTGCCTTCTGGCTTGAGTTCAGGGTTTTTGTAAGAAAGTCCAAAAGAAGCCTTGGCTGCTAGAGACAGGATCTCAGATGTATAATTCAAACCAGCCTTGAGCTCTCGGTGATCCTTCTGCTTTGGTTCCTTCAGTGCTGGGATCACAGGCATGAGCCACTTAGGCCTTGCTCAAAAACATCTTTGGAAAGGGACATTTTCATTAGCCCAGGTTTGTCAAAGTAGCGTTTGTTCCAGTAGGAATGCAATCAAGTCAGTATATTGCCTGCTCCTATCTTGCCATAGTCTGTTGTTAGCAGGCCGTAGACCAGGGGCTGGATCCGTGGAGCCTTAGATGAAGAGGTGACTATTAGCTCCTGAATAATCGTGATGATTACAGCTGAAACTGGGAAACACAGCTTCCACAACACTTACAGAACCACATTTTTAAAAGTCTAAAAGTTAGGCCTTTACTGTCCTCTCTACTGAGCTGTTTGGTGCCAAGTATTTGTGAAAATTTATGTTTCTTTGGTGCGTGTTTATCTCTGAGCTGAAAAATTTTAAACCATTTTTAGCCCCTTCCTTCAAGGATATTGCTTGGCTTTTTGATTTACACAAATTATATTATGTAGGTCAAAGCCTCGACTAGAAACTCATCTAAATAAGGTTTACCTTGGAATCCCATGTTTAAACAGCACTGGAAAGAAATTTGCTTAGCTCAATGGTTTTCACCAAAAGTAAGATAGTCAGTGCTGAGTATTTATTTTGTTTGAATTTTTCAGTACTTTTAAGGTATAGCCCATTTTAGGAATAGAAAAGTGCATTTTTAACACTCGTTTCTCCTGTGATGTATTAGACAATGTTTGGACAAAAATGTTTATATTTTTATTGTACACAACTTTTTAACATAATAAATCTTGTGTTTAGACGATCTCTTTTGCTAGTCATTTCTTTGTACAGATGTCCTGTACAGCTTCCCCCAGCATAAGTTTTAAACTTCTTCCTTCATTTTTTCTTTTCTTTTTTTTTTTTTTTTTTTTTTTGCTATCTTGTATCCCTTCATTTCCAGAGGTAAAGGAAGTCATTAGCATTTGTTTAAAAAGAATGTTGTGGCTCTTAACATCGGAGTGTATTTATTTCATTGTCCTTTAGTCAACACTTGGGGTGAAAAGAATACTCAAGTCCCTAAAAATAAATTGCTTATTCATTTTCCCATGAGAAGTAATGTACCCTTCACCTAATTAAAAACATTTTTTTTTAGTTTGTCTTTCCTCACTCAGGCCTACTATAAATGACTGATATTTTGAATCAACTTAGCCACCATGAAGGTAGTTGGGCTAAATTATGCCATTATCAACTTTATTATTTTAATTTCAAATGTAAGACCATATGCTGAGCCATTAGCCAAGTCTTTATAATTTAAAAGGAATTGAAAAACATGCACAGTGTTTTCTCTGACAATAGCAGAATCAAATTAGAAGTTAATAATGGAAAGCCATGAAGAAAATCCCTAACATTTGGAAATTAAACAGCACACTTTCAGATAACCCACAGGTCAAAGAAAAAAAAAACCAAAAGGGAAATTTGAATGTATTTTGAAATAATGATAACGTGCACCCAATATATAAAAATCTGTAGGAGCTAAAGCTGAGGCTCTCCTTTAAAAGGACACTTACTGTTTTCAATGATTTTTGTAAGGGATAAAGTAAGACTTTCTAATCATGCAAATATATTTGGTAACATTATCAACTGATGTAAGATAAGCCTGGGTATATTGTCTGATGCACACCTGTCACCCCAGCATTTGAGATGCTGAGTCAAGAAGAGTTCAAGACTAACCTGGACCACATAGGGAGTTCTAGGCCAGCATGAGGTGCAATGTGAGACAGAGTCTCAAAACAGACAGAAAGAAAGGAATCAGATGTGTGATTGTCCCTCAGAGAGGTGGACGGATCTGAGTGGAGCCACAGAGCTACTGTGACTGTGTATTATTCTAAACTGAGGTGTTCTATTGATGACTCTTCTGGATTGAACTGTGATCTTCTAACATTCCTGTGTGTGGGTCTCAAATCCTAGCACAACACAATGTGAATGTGATTAAGTTACCATGGACAGTTTAAGGTAAGTAAGTTGCCCTGAAGCCCTATTCCAACATGACAAGTGTTCTTATGAGGAATGAGTCAGGCTGAAGGGCGGTGGGAACAGAGTGATGACCTTGGGAAGAGGCAATGAGGAGAGGGCTGTGGGCAGAGCAGTGAGACCTCAGAGAAACCAGCATTGCCCATACGGTGACCCCAGATGTCCAGTCTTCTGAGCTGTGAAACCACACATTCCTGTTCTTCAAAGCCACCCAGGGTGGTCTTTTCTTTTATCAACCTGTGCTGGTTAATATTTTTTATCAATTCCACAGCTTGAACCATTTGGAAAGAATGCTCCTTTCAGAACATGATTCTCCAGACTGGTTCATGGGCAAGCAACTTAGGCTTGGGGGCATGTTCTTGATTAATGATTGATGTGGGCCCAGCTCACTGGAGGTGGTGCTACCACTGGGCAGGTGGTCCTGAGCTGTATAAGAGGGCAGGCTGCATGAGCCATGGGGAGGAAGTTAGTAACGCTCCTCTGTAGTCTCCACATCAGTGCCTGCCTTTAGGTTCCTGCCTTGAGTTCCTGCCCTGATTTCCTGGGAGAATGGACCATGACCTGAGATTTGTAAGATAAAACAAACCCTTTTTTTTTTTTCCCATGTAGCTTTGGTACAGAAACCCAACTATAACAACCCTAACAAACTAATACAAATTGAAATCAATTATCATGAATGTAGTAGCCATGCTAAATTACCGCTGCTAGACATTTTTATTATTTTAATTCTGAAGGTTTAGACTGTATGCTGAGCCACTAAATCAGTCTCTATAATTAAATAGACATTATAGTCATGTAAAACTGTATTTGTGTGTGTGTGCACGCACACGTGCGCATGTGCATGCCTGTCTGTTTCCAGGTGTTTGTGTGTATGTATGACTGAAGAACAACCTTGGGTATCATCCTCAAGACAGCTGATTACCTCCTATGACTCATGGCCTCTCATTGACCTTTATCTCACCTGTTAGGCTACTCTGCCTTTCTCTACCTCCCCAGCATTGGGATTATAAGCATTTACCACCATACTCAGTTTTCCCTCTAACTTTTATTTTGTAACATGGATGCTGTGGATTTAACTCAGATTTGGTGTGTTCTAAACCCCTACTATATCAACTGATCCCTTTCCCCAGCCCTGAAAAATATTTACTTTATTGTTTTTATGTGTATGGTATTTTGGTCTGCATGTATGTTTGTGCACTGAATGCACACCTGGTGCCTGCAGATGGTTGGCAGCCTCCAGATGGATCTTCAGAATCAACCCCTTGCCTCCTCCACACATACACACACCACCCCTGTCCTCGGCAAGGGCAATCAGTGCACTTACCCTCTCAGGCATCTCTTCAGTCCCCAACAAAGCACTAAAAGAAAATTGTTTTTCATTCTTAGCTGCGTCATGAGTGATGATTTTTGTGTTTAATATTTTACAAGTTAGTTGCAGATGAATAAATGGGTAATGTCATAGTGAGTCTTCCTGTGTCAAAGCATGTTGATGACTTTTCAGGATTCCAGCTTTAATGTTTAAACACATAGGAGTGGCTGTACGTAAATATTTAAAATGTGATAGACAATGCTATCACTTCTGGTAATAGTCTGTACCTCTCATTGCTGTGAAGTTTAAAGGAAAAACCTGGGTAGAATTTGTGTTTCCTGTACCTGGCACAGTAGTGTGAGCTGCTAACCGTTTCCAGGGCTGTCATTTATTATGATTATTTTCTTGCACTCTGGTTTCCTTGAAAGGTACAGAGTTGCAGAATCAATCTTACCCTGTAGATGTCGAGAAACAGGGGTAAGTCAAATTTGTTGAGAAGTTGGCTGTTTTATGTTGGCCTGAGGTTAAAACATTTTGAGAGCAATTGTGTGTATCCTCCTAGGGCCAGACTTATTTCTACTCTCCCTCCAGCTCCAATGCTGTTTTCTGCCTTTGGGGACTGGGCAGCGTCAGTGACAGATAATGGAAGACAAATTTGTTATTTCAGAGCAACTTCTTCTTTTAATACCTCATGTGGGCTTTTCCCCAGAGGCAGCTAGAAAAAGAATAGGGACAAGTTACTACTTTGGAGTTAAGCCTCTGACCTGACCTGTTTGGGGCCTTGTATGTGGACATGTGCATGGGTGTTTGTCTGTGTACGTGGACTTAGAGCATATGTAAGTATTTACATGCTTTGAGGATGGCATTCATGACGAAATTGCTACCGTGCGAGACATGAAAACTATGTCACTCACTGAGCAGTTGGAATTAAGCAATCTCTCAGAAAACTCTGCCTCTAAATAAACCCCACTTTAACTCCCCTTTCATGGCTTACTCCATTCTCCTCCTCCCCCTGCCCTGCCAAATTGCCTGGCTTCTCCTGCTTCCCTTTCTCTACCGCCATTTTCCCATAGTACCTGGGATTTTATAATTAAAAACTTGGTCGCTGAATAAAAGATTTCGTGGGCTTCCCCCAGGAATTTCCATTTCAGTGATGACGGTTGGTGGAAGGTAAGAGGTGGATCCATGAGAGCAATGGTTGTACTGTATGGCTTCTGCTGGTGTAGCTGGTCTGGCAGAAAGGGATGAAGGCATGTGTTTGGAGCATGTCCTGGGCACTGGTAGTCTCACTGTAGAACATATAATCGCTTGTTTACTAGAACATGTTAGCTTCTTGTTTTCAAACACATCCTCCATTGCTGACATGATAATTTCATAATAATGCCCATACCATGAAGTTTCAGCCCGCGTGTTTGCTTGCATTTCCACTTATTCCCATGTCATTGTCTTGTTTTCTGGCTAATGATTGGCTTGTGAATGAGTACGTTAATCATGCCAGAAAGATTTGTGCAGGCACCATCATTTTCTGATGTGTGTACGAGCAGGTCCAGTTAACAAAGAATCCTGGCCCTGAGTCCTCGCCACCATATTTACCTGTCCCATTCAGGCAGTATTATTAAGCTGTGTCAGCCTTTATAGGATTTTTCATGTAAATTCTGGTTCTGCAGTTGTATAGGCATTCCAAGCTCAAGCAATTTACTTCTAGTTATGCTTGCATGAATTTTGAAAACCTAATAAAGTTAGCTCTTCATAGTCACAGACTTAGGATCTGCATGTTCAACCAGCTATAGGTAAAAAATACACAGAGAAAAAAAATCATGACTATGCTGAATTTGTGAAGATTTCTTCTCTTGTCCTTCTTCCTTAGAAATGACAGTATGACAATGACCCACATAACTCTTACATTGTATTGCATGTTATTAGTAATCTAGAGATGAGATAAGGTGTACATGAGGGTGGACATAAGTTACATACAAATGCCATTCCACTTGACGTTGACAGGTTTCTGTCCCACCTGGTCCCGCAGCCATTCAGTCCCAAAGAAACACACAGAAGTCTACATTAATCATAACCTGATTGGCCTATTAGCTCAGGCTTCTTATTAACTTTTATATCCTACATTAACTCATAATTCTTGTCTTTGTCAGCCACATGGCTTGGTTCCTTTTATCAGCTAGGTGTTCTCATCTTGATTCCTCTGCATCTGGGTGATGACTGCAGACTGAGTCATTTTTTTTCTTCCCCAGAATTCTCCTGTTCTAGTTGCCCCACCTATACTTTCTGCCTAGCTACTGGCGAATCAGCATTTTATTAAAACAATACAACTGACAAATCTTTACAGGGTGTAAGGCCATTGTCCCACAGTATGACATAAGGGTTTTGACCTGTTCATTTTGATATCCTTGAGGAATTTTGGAGGTATAATCTATATAATGATGTGTGTGTTTGTAGTTTAAGTCAATATTGTATGAATGCCTACTCCC